TCTGGACACGCCCCCCGTCGCCGCCGGCGACCCTCGATCGCAGTGGAGCCGGACGCACCTGTCGCCTAACCTGCAGGTGTGTGCGTCGGGCGGGAGTGTGTGTCGAGCCCGCGTGGAGCAGAGCAGTGATGCAGTTCGTGGAGCCGTCGGCGTAGAGGCGGGGCTTCACATATGGGAGGTTCGGTGGGAGCAGCTACAGAGAGGAAGCCACGCCCTCCTGGGCGTATCCACACACACATGCACCCTGCAGGCCTCCGGCTACACAGCGCTAATAGGCGGAGACTCGTGTTCCTGGGGCTGGGACCTCTCGACCAATCAGCTTTGGCATGATGGAAAGAAAAGGAGGCGGTACCCTGGGGGCGGAGCCTCGGATAACCCAAGCGTCCCGGATCGTGTGTTAGTGGTTCTGGACGCAGACGCGGGGACGCTGGGATACGTGGTGGACAACTGCTATCTGGGCGTGGCCTTCAGGGACCTCCCCAAAGGGGCGGAGCTATTCCCTGCTGTGAGCTGTGTGTGGGGAGGAGCTCAAATCTGCATACGCTACCTGGGCGGCACGACACGTGAGTGTGACATCATCACATCAGTATGAAATAGTGTTTATTTAGTAGTGAGCTACTCGATGACTACAGGCGTACCAGACTGTGCTCATGCTGAGAGAAATCCAAGTGCAGAGGCATGTGTGTGTGTGTGTGTGTGTGAGTGTGTGTGTATGTGTGTGTGTGTGTATGTGTGTGTAAACTTGATGGTTATTTTACTTCAAGGCTAAATGTGAGCATGCATTTACTCGTCTCACTTGCACGAAAACATTCAGTGTTCCTCAAAATGAATAAAAACGGTGAAATGCGATCTGAGACGTTATAACGAGTGTAGGTGACGACCGTTACGCAGAAGGAATGTAACGCAGTACTTTTCACAAAAAGTAACTAAACGCAATTTGGTACTTTTATAGAGAGTAACTCAATATTGTAATGCACTGCTTGTGAAAGTACTTGTGTACCGTTGGCTCAGTCTGACTCTGTGTGTGTGTGTGTGTGTGTGTGTCCCTCAGGAGACGCTCCGGCTCTACAGGCTCTGAGTCGCTTATCTGTGCGCCGGACCCTGGAGTCAGACGGGCCCCGGACCCTCCCACCGGCTCTACAGCGCCTCCTGCTGGACCTCTGAGCACACACACACACACACACACACACTCTACAGCGCCTCCTGCTGGACCTCTGAGCACACACACACACACACACACTCTACAGCGCCTCCTGCTGGACCTCTGAGCGCACACACACACACACACACACACACACACACTCTACAGCGCCTCCTGCTGGACCCCTGAGCACACACACACACACACACACACACACTCTACAGCGCCTCCTGCTGGACCTCTGAGCGCACACACACACACACACACACACTAAGAGGAACTGCAGAGACCTGTGATCACACACTTTTATACCACTTATTTATACACAAGATTATTTAAAGTTATTTTTGTACAGCAGACGGATGTTCAGATGGTTGTAACACTAAATCTCTTAAAGAAATAAAATATTTCTTATGAACTAGAATGAAATAAAGTGTTTGTTATTGGATATTGAGTGTGAGTGTCAGGATGAAGAGTGTGTTCATATTCATCATAAACAGCCCGTCAAACGCTGTGGATAAAACGCTCACGGGAAACTGAGGCATTGGATCCGATTTATTCATATTTATTACACACACACACACACACACACACACACACACACACACACACACACACACGCGTGGAAGCGCTGGGCAGACAGAAGCTGTATAGGCTACAGGTTATATATTGTACCCAAATAATACATTAGTTATGGATTGGCTGCTCAATCACACATCAATCGATCCGAAATTTCCATCTGACTGAAAGAGGAGGTTATTCCTTTCATAATCCAATCGAGAGAAGAGAACAAACACTTGATCCAATTGAAAACTGAAAATGAAAGCACTGCGCATATGTGCAATGATGTGCGGAACGAGCTCCAGTAAAAAAAAACCTCTCAAAATGCTGGCTGTGGATGCGGAAAACGCAGAAAATCGAACCCGATCCGAATTTTTTTGACGGACGAAAGTTTCGGTGTGAAAGCGTGATTGACATAACGTGAGGTCGATTTTTTTTTTAACGTGCGAAAATTTCGGATGCGAATTTCGGACTCAGTGTGCAATGGCCTTTACTGTAGTGACACACACACACGCAAACTTGAAATGAAAAAACAAAGTGCTTTAAGAATGAGTTTTTATTTGAAATATTATAAAGCACATAAATAAATGAGTAAAATGATGAAGATTATCTCCAGACTCGGTGAGATCCTCCTCTGCGGCCGGAAGATCTTCGGCTCTGAGCGAGACGAGACGAGGCACGCGCCTGAGAAACACACACAAAACACACACACACACACACACACACACACACACACACACACACACACACACACACACACACACACACACACACACACACACACACACACACACCTTCTGAAACACTGATCGGAGCCAATCAGCCGAGCCGCAAACATCATGTGACTGATGAGGTCAATAAATTATAAAAATAAAACAAACAAATAAATAACTACAGTAAAATGGTCTATTTAATCAAAAATAATATTTCTTTAAGATATTATATTTAATAATAATATTAATAATTTATTTTATTTATTTATCCTTATATTAATGTATGTCTTGATTTCATTTTTAAAGGTTAAACCACAGAGCTTTATCTCGGTGTGAAACGGAGTGTGTGTTTGATTGGTGGATTATCACACGGCTCTGTGGAATGCTTGATTCTGATTGGTCAATCGCGGTGTGTCATAACAACAGAACACAGAAACACACACTCATCCGGGTCACTGATGACATCAGCGCTACACACTCGCTAGAACCGCTTCTCTTCTTGATATAAGCGGCACATTAAAGTTAAAAGTTACAACTGAATACTGGAACCAGTGTGTTTCTGCTGTACACGTCAGGTACAGGTCAGATACAGGTCAGGTCAGATACAGGTCAGGTCAGGTCAGGTCAGGTACAGGTCAGATCAGGTACAGGTCAGATACAGGTACAGGTCAGGTACAGGTCAGATCAGGTACAGGTCAGATCAGATACAGGTACAGGTCAGGTCAGGTACAGGTCAGATACAGGTACAGGTCAGGTCAGGTCAGGTCAGGTACAGGTCAGGTCAGATCAGGTACAGGTCAGGTCAGGTACAGGTCAGGTACAGGTCAGGTCAGGTACAGGTCAGATACAGGTACAGGTCAGGTACAGGTCAGATCAGGTACAGGTCAGATACAGGTACAGGTCAGGTACAGGTCAGATCAGATACAGGTACAGGTCAGGTCAGGTACAGGTCAGATACAGGTACAGGTCAGGTCAGGTCAGGTCAGGTACAGGTCAGGTCAGGTCAGGTCAGGTACAGGTCAGGTCAGGTCAGGTCAGGTCAGGTCAGGTACAGGTCAGGTCAGGTCAGGTCAGGTACAGGTCAGATACAGGTCAGGTCAGGTCAGGTACAGGTCAGGTCAGGTCAGGTACAGGTCAGGTCAGGTCAGGTACAGGTCAGGTCAGGTACAGGTCAGATACAGGTACAGGTCAGGTACAGGTCAGATCAGGTACAGGTCAGATACAGGTACAGGTCAGGTACAGGTCAGATCAGATACAGGTACAGGTCAGGTCAGGTCAGGTCAGGTACAGGTCAGGTCAGGTCAGGTCAGGTCAGGTACAGGTCAGGTCAGGTCAGGTCAGGTACAGGTCAGATACAGGTCAGGTCAGGTCAGGTACAGGTCAGGTCAGGTCAGGTACAGGTCAGGTCAGGTCAGGTCAGGTACAGGTCAGGTCAGGTCAGGTCAGGTACAGGTCAGATACAGGTCAGGTCAGGTACAGGTCAGGTCAGGTCAGGTACAGGTCAGGTCAGGTCAGGTACAGGTCAGGTCAGGTACAGGTCAGATACAGGTACAGGTCAGGTACAGGTCAGATCAGGTACAGGTCAGATACAGGTACAGGTCAGGTACAGGTCAGATCAGATACAGGTACAGGTCAGGTCAGGTCAGGTCAGGTACAGGTCAGGTCAGGTCAGGTCAGGTACAGGTCAGGTCAGGTCAGGTCAGGTACAGGTCAGATACAGGTCAGGTCAGGTCAGGTACAGGTCAGGTCAGGTCAGGTACAGGTCAGGTCAGGTCAGGTACAGGTCAGGTACAGGTCAGATCAGATACAGGTACAGGTCAGGTCAGGTACAGGTCAGGTCAGGTCAGGTCAGGTACAGGTCAGGTCAGGTCAGGTCAGGTACAAGTCAGATACAGGTCAGGTCAGGTACAGGTCAGGTCAGGTCAGGTACAGGTCAGGTCAGGTCAGGTCAGGTACAGGTCAGGTCAGGTACAGGTCAGATACAGGTACAGGTCAGGTACAGGTCAGATCAGGTACAGGTCAGATACAGGTACAGGTCAGGTACAGGTCAGATCAGATACAGGTACAGGTCAGGTCAGGTCAGGTACAGGTCAGGTCAGGTCAGGTCAGGTACAGGTCAGGTCAGGTCAGGTCAGGTACAGGTCAGATACAGGTCAGGTCAGGTCAGGTACAGGTCAGGTCAGGTCAGGTACAGGTCAGGTCAGGTCAGGTCAGGTCAGGTCAGGTACAGGTCAGGTCAGGTCAGGTCAGGTCAAGTCAGGTACAGGTCAGGTCAGGTCAGGTACAGGTCAGGTCAGGTCAGGTCAGGTCAGGTACAGGTCAGGTCAGGTCAGGTACAGGTCAGGTCAGGTCAGGTACAGGTCAGGTCAGGTCAAGTCAGGTACAGGTCAGGTCAGGTCAGGTACAGGTCAGGTCAGGTACAGGTCAGGTACAGGTCAGATCAGGTACAGGTCAGATACAGGTCAGGTCAGGTATAGGTCAGGTGAGGTCAGGTACAGGTCAGGTCAGGTACAGGTCAGGTCAGGTACAGGTCAGGTCAGGTACAGGTCAGATACAGGTCAGGTCAGGTACAGGTCAGGTACAGG